CAGCGATGACCCAAAACAAACCTAAACCATTATTTTCGTTAAAAGGGTTCCAGTAAAAGAAACTTCTTGCAATTCTTCGCATAGTCCAAAAAACGTAGTTGAGAATTGACCATCCTTGTTTAATTTCAGGCATGATATGATGAAACGGTGCTGGAATTTTAACCCTGACTTCCGTCCTCCATTTGAAAACCTGCGACAAAGAATGGACAAATACATTCATGAAGAGGTTTGTTTTAAGAATTGAAAGCTTGCTGACATTCTATGAATTTTGAAGTCTCGTGGATTTCTCAGTACTTTGACACCATTTAGTTTCGGGAGCAATGCTTGATGGTACTTGTTTTGTTCCCCATGGCGCTGTAAACGGCTCAACTAGGACCATTTAGATCCCTGGTCAGCGATATTTCCACGCTCGTTAGGCCGTCTACGCTCATTTCACCATTTTCAGTTTATAAATCCCTCTTAAAATCATAGAGGTTCTCAGTCTACTGTGGAAGTAACTTTACTTTTCAGCTTAACATCATAGTGATATAGTGCTTTGCAGCAAGTGTACAACCCTTATTTCTTGCCTTCCACCCCAGACATATGAGGAACTACTTAATCTGGGAGCTTATGACAAGAAAAAATACTCCAGGGTTGAAGATCTTGGAGTTGAAGATGCAGGACCGAGTGAGGAAGTTGCAAAGAAGGCTGCTGCTAAAAGATTGGGAAAATGGTCCAGTGATCGCCGTTAGGGTACCTTTCTGTCAACTCTCGGTGCTAAACTATGCGTGATGACAGCGATGATTTTAAGGTCTTTCCATGTTAAAGAAACAAATGAGATCTTTGTTTATGATAATAATTCATAAAGTTAATTGTTTAAAGATACAAATAATTAATCAATTCTATTGGATTCAGTATAGGAGAACTTGGGTAGATATTGCTTAAATTTCCTTCACTGATTAAAACAGGATAGAAAGAGATAAAATAACATCCAAACAATTAAAAAAAAAACAAACTTGGGAAGCGGCCCGTCTATACTCTTTAAATTTGCGAGCTGTTGTAGTGAAAACTATCCGAAGTAAATTTTTTGAGCACACTACTAATCCAATAACAAACTACAAAAAATTTACCAAATTTCAAATATCCTTGGGAGGATTTTCTACTAGATTTGCTGCTATTAATCACCATTAAAGTATCCCGTATACCGATATTATTGACTCCGTAACTGATGTCCTTTAGTTCACATGCATTTTGCTCTCATATTGCTTTGTTTAGCTTTCGAGCCATTGCTATTTGAAAACAATTGATTGCATTAATATTGAAATTTATTGCTTTGCTTTAAGTGTTAAAGGCTTTTGTCGTAAGCGGAGAGAACCGTCTTAACAGAGTGAGTCAATTTAGCTTACTAATTTACTTATGTGATTTCGGTTCGTACGAGAAAAAAAGACAACGCTTATTGAGGAGCGTTCGTTTTAGTAGACAGACAATTTTGTCGTGGTAAAACGGAATTCTTATTTGAAAACTGAATGGATGTAGATCATGTAGATATATGAGCTTTTACTTCTGTTCTCTACAACAATCACACAAAAAAAAACTGTATTTAGTAGTCACACACTCTATTTAATATCTGCAATTAAAAGGTTAGAAGCATATCTTATGGCTAATTATTGATCGCAAAGTTCCTTTCAATTGATACTTTGCCGTGTCCCTTCCTTAGCTTTGCTATGGATGACGTCGTCCTTAATGAAGAATTATCAAAAATTAGAGGTGCTTTCTCTTCAGCGGTATTTATTATCTTATCCAAGGGGCCTCAATCAATCAGACACCCACGCCAACTCCTACTACTGAGCTCGTGATAGAAAGTTTTATCATAAATCAAAGTACTGATACAATGAATATATGAAGTGCATATATTTTGAACTGCGGTATTAAATACGTATGATGCAGTTCGAAATATATGGACTTCATATATTCATTGTATCTGATTTATCATCACGGGCTTATTACGAATCAACTTAACGGCCTGCTCCCAGTTGGCTTGTTAGCTCAATTGGTAGAGCGCTGCACTAGTATCGCAGAGGTTAGTGGTTCGAGTCCCGTACAGGCCTGATTTTTTTCAGGTCTGATTTTCGCTATTGCATAAATAACACTATCTACTGCGAAGGATCGTGCATCATACGTATAAATCAAATTACTGTTTTACGATTCGTTAAAGTGCCCCTGAGACGAAAATTGGCCATTTTATTTTGGACTAATTATTTTACAGAATATTGAATTGGGTCAAGTTAAAACCCCTTTTGCCATTAAAAACTCAAAATAAACCTTCGATGACTAATTTTTACCGCTTCAAAGTCGTCCAAAAATCCTCCGCCATTGCTGAAAACATGTTCCAGCCGAGCCCGCAGTTGTACAGCAGGAAACGTCATCATGACGTCAAAGGCTCAACAAACTTATGCTTTGCTTTGTCACAACTCTCTTCGTTCGGTGCAAACAGAATCACACATATTGCTTTTTTGAGAACTATTTCGTGGTCAGTCGTGAAATGTCGACTTTGTCTGACGATGAATTGTCCCAGAAATCATCTGAAGCTTCTGTGGATAGTTTTGCGCCGGAAAACGATGAAGTTTTGCCATGCGAAAAGATAATTACAGAACGGCATGGACTCCCCATGTGGCTTTTGTGGTAACGTCGCTTTATCACCTTCAAATTGTATTTTTGCTAGTCGTAAGGGATTTTCCTTTTTTGTAAGAAATGATCGAGTGATATATAAAAATTGTTTTCGGCAATGGCTGATTGTGTATCAAGGCGGATATTGGGAGTTTGAGAAAGCCATTTCTAAGCCATTAATGTGTTTGCCCCGATGCATTTGGTCAATGATCTCATTAACCCTTTCCTGCGTCTTTTTTTCTATCGGTGCTTTGAGAGGTTTGAAGTGAACACTGTTGTTGAGTTGCACTTTGGCCTCTTGTTTTCTCTGTCTTATTCATGATGACTATTGTTGTGTTGCTTCGGTGAGGTTCAAAGCAGAGCTTGTTTCAACACTTTCAGAACCGTAACCTCATTGCGTTACAAGGTATTGCTTGGCTTAGATACAGTCTGCAAGCTGTGTTGTGACAATTTTCCAAGTAGCTCTGAACGGCAATAGAAGACTGAACCGGTGGCATTCAGTTTGATATAAAACGGTAGTGGTTCTTTGTTTTGTCCGTGAAAGGTGTAACGGAGGCACATTCGTCTTGCGAATAAATCTCGCAAAAGTTGGCCTGATTTCACATCTGTTTGTCCAGGGTGTTAGGATGAGTTTGAGACCCTTTGATAGCACGCTGACATGGCTGTCAGATGGTTGATAGTTTGAGAGGTTTTTAAAGAAACTTTCATTTTCTCGGTTATTTGGCTGCAAGCCTACATTTTAAGGTGTTTTTACGCTCTCTGCGTCTTTTTTAAGATGTTCGTTCTACTTTCGCTGATACTAAAGCTCCTTTTTTCAGAGTCAGAGCACACAATTATATTTTTCATCTCTCTTGTCTAAAAGTAAGCTCGTTGAGGTGAGAAATCCCATTCCTCAATTTGGCTATTTTATCGTTATTATCTACAATGTTTGCCGATATTTGCCTTTCTGTAAGGTATTCTGCCAGAGTGTTGTTAAAGGTGGATATTGATCAGTGCATATGTAAAGGTGACAAAACCCGTGGAGGTTCGTAGACTTCACTTTCGAGATCGCACAGAGGACGGTCTTAACTGTCCCTTCTTTTGAACGGTAGGCACTGAACCCGACAGAATTCTTCGCCTAGATCCTTCAAGGTACCCAGATCTCTCGAAACAGTCTTCCGAGAAGTGTTCGGAGTAGATCACAAATATTCCTGCAAGATTGAAGTTTACTCGGCGAGTTCGCACAAATCGCATCCGTTTTTCCCGCTCTGATTTATTTGCAAGGCTGCTATGCAGAGAAATACCTACAGCATGGTCTGCACGATTACTTGAGCTTTGAATTACGATGCCTCGACATTATTTTTGTCTAGTTTTTGTAAGAATAGAGTAAGGCACTCTGTTATGTTTGCTTGACATTTCGCCATGTAAGATTTTCGCGTTGAGCCTTTGACGTCACTTCTGAGTCCTGCGGTCAACTTCCGGAACATGGTCAAATAAGGACAGACGCGAAATCGCGAATTTAGCGGCCCGAAAAAAGATATTTCTGGTACTCAAGATTGAATTTTGGCAGAGTAGGTGAAGGAGACACACTGATCACGAAAATGAAAAAAAGTTATGTGCGAAAACTTTGATCTCAGGGGCACTTTAAGTCTACGTATAGCAAGTTACAAGCCCCGCTGACATGTATCGTCGGGGCAGTTTCCCACACCACGTGCGTTCTTGATAGTTTTTCCGGTCTCGAAGAAGCAATAACTTCGAATCATTACCAGGTAGATGATTGTAAATCATTTTAGTTATTATTACATTACAAAGAATCTGGACGCATACGAGATGTTGGATCAGTCGAGCGTCCCAATGTGTTGAATTATGGGCGGTCACGCGCTTTTCGGATCCGCAGTCTTGGCCATTTTCATGCTGTTTAATGGTCTAATTCTTCAAGTGGACCAACTCGAGGATTGTGTGAACACAAGAGGAAAAATTTTGCCATCTTGGATGCTGGGACCACTCATTTTTTGTCATGAAAANATCGAGGAGAAAGATGAAAATCAAATAAAATACCAGTCCACATGTCGAGTAATTGTCAGTAGAGGAATGCAGATGAAAATATGAGTGTATGAAAATCTAGACGAAACATTGTCTCCCATTCTCGTTTTAGATTGAGATGAGAAAGAGAACCCTCTAGAATTCCTTACAGAATGGTTATCAGGCTTTTTAACAGGAAAAAAACAGAAATTCAGTGAAATTATGCTTTAAGAAATGTGTCCAAAATCATCTATACTGAAAGCTATGTTGTATGTTTTTGTTTCTTTGAGCGACGCATAAGGTAAAACTTCCCACTTTTCCCAAAGACGTATTTCATTACGAAAATTCTGTTCATTGTTCAAACCAGGACGCCAAAGCATAAAAAGTCACCTTAGGTTGTTTCGTATGTATGCTGAAGATAATCTAAGAAAATTAAGCTGGCTCCACATGAAAACTTATCGTCTATCAAGCAGATTTATATCATTGAGTGGAGGCGAGGAATGAAATCCTGGCCCTCTAAGTCAGTATTACAATCCAACACCTTTTACATCAGGCACAAATTCGTTTTCACCGTTAGAAAGCAGGTTGTCTCAGTTCGGCAAAACTGTATTTGATGCTGGAGAAGATAGTGATTGCTTTTTTAGGGCTGTGGCAATCATAATAATCATTTTCATGTGCACAGTGTTGGCATTCAGTATTGAGTGCATCGCCCTGAACAATTTATTGAACGTAAGACTGTGCATTCTTGGCAAGATTATTTGGAAAGAATGCCATGTCAGAGAACAGGGGCTGATGCAGTTAAAATTCAAGCTGATGCCAGTCGTCTTAATTTATCAATTCATATTCCTGAATCAAATCCAACTTTTTCTCCCGTTACTGTCGTCGAGCCAATGAATGCAGATGGCTTAAATATTGCAATGGGCACTTAAATGAAATTCATTATGTTTCCATGTTAGAAAGTAAGAACAGCAGCAAATGTGCACAAAATGCAGAGGAAAACAATCCAGTTAATAACAGAAAGAAACATAAAGCTCACAAAAAGGACTA